ATATGACAGTCGTAGTCGTGGACGTAAGTAACGCACAAGCTTTGGCGCATCCTGATTTGTCAGGTCGAGGACTACGACCGTCGTATATCGCTACGCCATGCATGTTATGTGCTTTGGCTCTAACTCTAAGCTATAATTTACGTCACGTATATTATAGCATTAGAATTACTTAGGTGTGCCTGGGCGTAATTACTGAATGCACCCTAATATTTTAAATTGACGCAACCGGTCGGCAACAATCCGCTAAATTAAAAGATTAACTGACTTATATTTAGGATTATCTTGCACAAATTATCATCTGGCGGCGGTCACTTTGTCAACACTAAAATCACCATTGATCTATGACGACATGGTGCTGTCATTGTAGAAAGCGCTCCGCGGGAAGGAAAACTTTATTTGATCTAGCCCTAACGGTTTTCGACACGTCGCGTTGACAACACCTGCAGTTGGAGGATGCACCGTCGGGAACAAAATGCACCCGCGGGAACAAAATATAATTCGAACAAAAACGGACTCGATTCAAGTCACTATCGGCTATTTTCATTGATCCTACGACACTGTGAGACAGATACTGGCTTCAGCGATAACGCCATACGGCTGCTGAAAGATGCGCCTTGAATGTGGAATTGTAGAAGGCGCTCGTTCTTGCTCGCAGAAGCAAAACGAGGAAAAGAACAGAAAAGCAGAGACTAAAAACTGGTATCACATGCACGGTATTCCTTTTCGCACAATAGGTATTACCCTATTTAATTTGAATAATAACGCCTCAGCTTCCTATATTGTGCTGGTACGTTGATGGCACCGCAGTCACCATGTCGCCAAATCTATCAGCGTATCAAGCTGCATATTAAAGCGAATGTAAATAATACAGTGCGATCCGAAAATATGTTGCATATATATATATATATATATATATATATATACACACTATATATATATATATATATTATATATATATATATATATATATATATATATATATATATATATATATATATATATACATGTAAACGTTTTAACATTTTTAAGAAGTTGAACAATAAGCGTTCAAGTTTTATAGCATACATAAACGCTTGTAATTTTTTAAGGAATAGTTTTGGGAATAAACGTTTTATAGATAAAAGAATTTCTTATTTTTCAGTTTATTTTTTAGGAAGAAATAAGTGGAAATTAATCTTTACATAGAATTAAAGGATCTTAAAATCCATGGGAACTAAAACGATAAAAAGTGATAATTTAAATTTAATTATTCATTCATCATTTTATCATTTCAAAGTTATATTACAACATCACTTTATTCATGTTGTCATGATTATTTATTGTTCTGCATGGCGTGTTAAGCCTTACGTGGGTCACCCTGTTATATAACGTTAAGCAGTAACAATAAAAGCAATTATGTAAGTAAAACGGTACAGTATCAAAACTTAAGAAATTTACCTTGTTGATGACATCTGCTGCATATAACATCAGAATTTCCACCTTCAACCACATGTGAGATAACGAGGAAGAACTGATCAAATAATCAAAGCATTGATGAGCTACTGCACGTCCTATTAATCGGGCCAAATCTACTTTGTGTATAACAGGATCTAATTTTTCATCATAGATTATAGCTGCTTCTCTATACGTCTAAAAATCATGAATATAATTGTAAAAACACTTTATAAAGATGTACGTTAAGAACGTAAAAAGCATTTAAAAGTGCATATATACATCCTTAAGGAATTAACTGATAGATATAAAGATAGATATAAAATAAATTTAGTTAGCCTTGTATTACTAATAAATTTAAAACTATTAAAAAAAACTATTTTGAAGATACTACATACATATATGTCTAATTAAGGCTCCTGGATGGTCAGCCGAGAACTCTGCGTTGACGGTGGCGCCGCCACTCTCTCCTCTCACTCTCTCCAATGGAGAATTCTGTCTTGTGACATGTTGACAACCTATTTTGTCGTCCTTGCTATTTCTTTATTACTCGCTCTGTGCTTGTGCTCTAACGTTTAACGTATTCGTGAAAATCGTAAAATTGACCGAAAAGTAAGATTTGCATGCGGAAGTAAGGTTTTCACCTCCTTTCGATAGTCGTTAAACGGCTGTTTTTCCCGTAT